TTATGACACGTAATCTTCAATTAGTAAAGTCCAAACTTTATATATAGCTGCTCCAACCAAAGAAACGTCACTGTCTCTCTGATATGGTTTACAGAATGAATACTATGGTTGAGAGTTCTGTAGGGTTTAGTGGTGTCATACAACACTGAGAATTTCGCTCAAACACGTATGGACAGGTGGTAAAGAAGGTCAGTATACCACTTTCAGAATATTGTGGTTTTCACATCCCTTTAGTATGCATGAACGAAAAATTATATTACCATTTTGTTACGGCAACTATATTTAACCAAGTGAGATCCAAAGTATTTTCTTCGTGTGCGGATCGCGTATCGCCGAATTAATATCTTTTAAAAATTATACGAATAATCGTGCGTGCTCTACTAATTTTTGTTTCTGCGGTATACTATTATATCGAATGATACGGACCCGAAAATTTCGTAACACGCTCGGCCATCAAGTATGATACAAACTGTAGCACTATATGAAGTACTGTAGTACTGTACCGTAGTACTGTAACGAAGTGTTAGCATTATAACATTTATAGCATGATTCTATTTATGGGTTCGCAGTCGATTCAAATATCATCGCAGCGAGACCCGCGAAATATGGCGCATTAGCATTGCACCTGGTGTCTCTCGCGAAGCAAATTTAACAGCGAATCGAGATGTGCGTTGCGAAGCTACATTCCCCCGTTTTACATTGTGACCGTCTCATTTCGTGCTGCATTAATGAACTTCAGGAGAGTCGGGACTTTCTGACCTTGTTTTTAGAAACATTTTCTTCCTCCCTCTCCTTTCTTCCTCTTTCTTTTGCAGAAATTTCTTTTGTATGTTACGTATAACGTAACGACTCTGTTGTAACCGTTGCCGAAATGGTCGAAATGCGTAAATAACTAAAGCCTTCGAGACCTTTTCATTTCGGAGCAATTCTCCCGCGTGCTTTTATTTTGATTAACGATGCTTTAAAGTCAGATATCGCCCGAAACGCCGCCAGCATCTCGATCGACAATCGCGTTTGTGGTAGTTTTGCAATACACCCAGTATACAAAGTCCGACTATATCAAGCGCTATAATAATTACAGACCGCAGTAGCCGCCACATTCTCTCAATGAAAATTCACGATGCGATATTAATTAACAGCTTATAAAGGTCGATCGGTTTGAAGATTATCCGCAAATACCTCAAATATGCCGAATCAATTTACTTGTAGCTATCTCTATTGCTGTTTCTTCCACCCACGCGGCATGTATCATGTAAATAGACATGTGTGTCTGTTTGTGAACGTCTCTTGCGTAAAGCCGCGTAATTTCATTGCGTACAATAACGTCGCGTTGTATGATACGGTAACGTGCAATTATTATATTAAATGTTACGTATCGATATAACAATACACAAATTTTATAAAACTGAACTTTTATGAATGTATATATGTCGAATTTACATAAGAGACTTTACCTCGAAAAGCGGATTAAATATCGCGTGAGAGGCGCTTTTTTCTGTTTTATCATTATTATGATTTACATTTTCGGTTAAAATGTTCATATCTAATACGTATAACAATGTACGAATTGTGCCTCGATAACATAAAAATATTCAAAACTGCTGCATACACGATTGCTGGCCAAAGGCTATTCAGCAGACCATAGAGTACTCTCGTTCGTTTCCTCGAAAATTGTAGTGGTGCAAATTAATAGCTTTCAATGAAAGCAACACGAGTGCGAAATCGGTTCATGGATTCAATGCGAAATTAAAGAACTCCAGGAATTTGGCCGACGCGTTGTTTGAACATGTTTTCGCTTAGTGGTAATTTTTAACGAACTGCCAGGATAGTTTTGAGCCAATATTTTGAAGAGCATGCACGTATATAAGTTGCATGCGACTTATCCGTATCTATAAGCCGCTCAAGAATCTGCAGCGCGTCAAAGTATCAATAAAAGCTGTTATACTGTCGTGAATGTCAACGAGTTGGCGTGTCAGCCGGTAGAGTGCGAACTCAGGGCGAGTGCAGTACGTCGCGTTTTCCGACACCTATTAACCCGGGTCAAGATTAAATATGAGGGTCGAATAAAGAATTTCCTAACCGCAATGGCGAGAGAGAGAGGGGGGGGGGGGG